TTTGATTAACCTTTTCTAACACTCCACATTAATTTTTAGCGTTAAAATTAATAAATGACTAGAAAATATTCTGTCACATAACTTCAGCCTGTTGCTGACCTGGTCACCATGTAGCAATGTAAGCATATGAAAATTTGATTTAATACACTGTTGATACTCTGAACTCTCCCCAATGATAATTATTTCCAAGAAATTTACTTTTTGCAATTTTGTTGTTATAATAAAAGTATAAATTCAGTACTAGAAGTGATCTTTCTGATAAAAAATCTGTTCAATTAAGACATTCTGTAAAATGTCTCATTCTTGGCTTACATTTAATTGTTAGACTTAAAGTACAGATAATTATGATTATTATCCTAAAACCAGATATTTTGTTCAATAAAGATTGTGTGTGTGGGCCACCTCTTATTGTATATTATCTTTTTTCTTATTCAGTATAGGGATTTTATGTTTTTCTTATGGGTATATTTCAGTGATTTGACCTTCTAAAACTGAGTTAGAGAACATAAGTAACATCAGTTGTAAAGCAGTTAATATAAATTAGCATAATTTAGTAATGTGTCAGTACATGTTATGAGGTTTATTGAGTCAGTTGTTAGTGATGAAAATAAGGATTTTTTCATAACTTTGAAATTAGGTCTATATCCATTTGATTCTTTACATTTTACTCTCAAAGTTGGGATGAAATTATACTGTGAGTTTTACATACAAGATTGATATGCTTTGAGTTTGTAGTGAAAACAATTTTTTACTGAGAAATACTTATTTTATCAAGTCCTTAATATCTATTTTTCCACCTTAAGCCATGAAAGTATATAGCATAGATTCTTCGGAACAGAAAAAAACCAAGAAAAACTTAAAAAAGTTTCTTACACGACGCCCTACTTTGCAAGCTGTTCGTGAAAAAGGCTATATTAAAGGTAGGTGAGAGATATGAACTTTGGCCCAAATCCGAATAAAGGCATTATAAGTTAAAAATGGAAAAATTTCCAATCTGTAAAAGTGTTCTTGCTCTTTATTCAGAACATTTTCAATTATGGTAATTAAAATTGACTTTTTATGTGCCTAAAATATTTTACCTGAAGCACTAAATATACCTAAATACCAAACTAAGTTCTTAGAAAACCTGTATCAGAGTAGTTACTCTGATGTGATTGTTAGAAATTGTGAGAAAGAAGAGTTTCATTCCAAAAAAAGAAGTGTCAGAAGAGGGAGCTCTGGTGGCTCAGTCTTAAGGAGAAGTGCTGCTGCCAACTCAGAGGCATGTGTTTGAAGTCCACCAGCTGCTCCGTGGGAGGAAGATGGGGTAGTCTCCTCCTCACCCCATGTGATTTACAGTCTCAGAAAACCTGCTGGAGGATCAGCTATGAGTTGGTTCCACCTTGACAATAAATAATAATAACAGTGGTGATCCTCGGGAGCTCTGGTGGCTTAGTCTCCAGCACATTACACGGCTAACCCAGAGGCTGAGCCTCTGGCAATTTGACTGCACCAGCAACTCTGACAGAAAGATAGGCCATCTCCTCCGTGCAGTTTACAGCCTGGAGGGTCAGTTATGTATTGGTTCTGACTTGATGACAGTTAGGAAGTTTTTGAGAATCATAATCCCAAGCATATTGAATACTGTTTTAGAAATGACTTACTTTTTGCCGTTGCTCCAGCAGGTTTTCAGAGGCAGCTTGAGAAGGGGTTGCCCATTCTTCTCCTGCAGAGCAGCTGAGATTGCATTGCAGATTCTTACCACTAGGCTCCAGAGCTCTCCAGACAAGATAATTTAAAATAGTTATGATCACTATGAAGAATCTAAGATGATAGGAAAATGGAATGTGACTAGTATCGGGTTATTTTTTACTTGTCAGAAGGTTTTCCTAATCACATATTACCTGAGACCAGTGGTAGTGAGGAGTGTTCTGTGCAAAAGATAGACAATATAAAGACTCAAATGCAAGAATGAGGGTTTTAACAGAGCTTAGTGGGGATAAAAAAAAAAGAATTGTGTGAAGTGGAATATAAGCAGGGGACAGAATGCAGATCGCACTAAGTCAGTCATGGTTAGGTACTTGCACTAGGTAATCAATTTGTGAACCAAGTTTTGGGAAGGTAGTTTATTTTTAAAATGAAATCTCTTCCAGATCAGGTATTTGGAGCCAATCTGACTAATCTATGTCACAGAGAGAATGGCACCGTCCCAAAATTTGTGAAGTTATGCATCGAACATGTTGAAGAACATGGTAAGATTTTTTTTCCCTGTAAAAATCCCTAGAATGTTCATGATTTAGAATGATGTAGCTACAAGTTCCATGTAGTCATGAGGTCGGTGTTATGATACAAGCATCTTGTTTGCAGAATGTACATGTTTGCACCTGTTTCAAATTACAATGGTTGCAGACACCTACCAAATATTTAGTACTAGAGATAGCTGATTAAGTGTATGGTGTACTTTGAAGCCATTAGTAGTTGGCATTGACTTGAAATAAAGAGGGTGGTCATTGCAAAACTGAGTTGAGTAAGAAATGAATTGGCAGTGATTGTATGTGTTTACTTACTATTGAAAAGTTCATTTATAACAAAAATAAGATGATGTTTTAAAATGGTTAAATCAACTACAGAGTATAGAAATAGATCCTTTCAATAGAAATCCCTATAAAATTGAAGCTTATTTCTATTTTGGTTGATTTTAGCAGTTATGTTATTTGTATTATTTTTATTATATAAATTAAAAGTTTATTGACTATAGCACATTAACTTATATCTGTATATCATCAAAAACATCAGTATAATTAAAATAGTTCAATTTAACTTGTAATTTCTGCTAGTCACAGGTCTTTTGTCTCATTGACTCTTCTTAATCAGCCTGATAGTAAGAACCCTCATCTTCTTACCTTTAATTTGAAGTTAAAGGAATAGACCATTTGGATGTCTGAGTTAGTTAAGTCTCAGTTGTGTGGGTGTCAGCTAATGCTGTTTCACATCTGAAAGAAACTCTCCATCAAATTACTGATTATTTTGTCAAACCACTAGTTTACTCGCTGGCTTGTTTTGAATTTATTATGACAATGTATCATATACTTTCAAGAGAATGCTTTAATACTGCATTTACATTATCAAATGGGGTGCAAAAAAAAGGGCAGGCTCATTTTATCTGTGGCTTTATTTACGTTTTGAGCTTTCAAAATGTTGGCAGAAGTTTAAGTTACTATTACAGGTATTTGAAGTTTAATGTATTGCCTTGAACAGATAATAGTCAGCATTATAAATAAGACAGATTATTGCTATTTATTAAAGAGCATTCCCAGTGAATCTTCACCCATCTCCCCTGGCAAAGCATCTGTAAAGAACTCAGAATTACCCAGTTGATTTTAGGCTAATGCTCATGAATAAGAATTCCAAAGCATACAAAAACATCTTTGAAAAAGACAGATATTCAGACATAAAAATATTCTTTCATTATTGGTCCCTTAGGATTGGATATTGATGGAATTTACAGAGTAAGTGGAAACCTTGCAGTGATACAGAAACTAAGATTTGCAGTCAATCATGGTAAGATTATATTTCCTATTGTTACATTCAGAATAATTACTCAAAGCTGTACAAATTTATTTAATGTTGTTTTTTAAAAAATTTCCTGTTTCTATTCTGTTTTACAGATGAGAAGTTAGACTTGAATGATAGTAAATGGGAAGATATTCATGTCATTACTGGAGCACTCAAAATGTTTTTTCGAGAATTACCAGAACCTCTCTTTACATTTAATCATTTTAATGATTTTGTTAATGCAATTAGTAAGTATGTAATTGACTCAATTTCCCCCAAATATCCTCTGCAGAGATTAAGCCAACACATTATATTTGATCTTTGTTATTTTAAAAGTTTTTTCCAAAGGATTGCTTTGCTCCAGAAATTTAAAATGTGACCACCAGATGTCACTGTATATTACCAAATTTCTGCTTCCAACTGCCATTGCTTTCCATTTCTTAAGAACGTACTGCAAAATCTTTTCGCTCTTTTTCAGAACAAGAACCAAGACAGCGAGTTGCTGCTGTTAAGGACTTAATCAAACAATTGCCAAAACCAAATCAGGATACTATGCAGATCCTTTTTAGACATCTCAAAAGGTAAACAAAACAAAACACAACAAACTTAAATGTGAAATACAAGCAACATTTGAAGTCAAGGACAATCAGACGAGACCCACTATCAGAGCTCCGCCAGGCTTAGTAACAACTAGCTAGTGACTTTGACCTTCTTTCTGTTCTTTCTGGATAAAATAGTTTGATATGAAGAATGCATTCTTCTTGTTGTTGTTATGTGCCTTCGAGTTGCTTGCTCATAGCAACCCTGTGTGCAACAGGCCTAAACTCCGCTCTGTCCTGTGCCAATCGCACCATCTCCAATACACCCATCCCAATGACCCCAGTCACTGAATCAATCCACCTCATAGAGGGCCTTCCTCTCCTGCACCGTCCCTCTACCCTCCCAAACATGACGTCCTTCTCTAAGGACCGGTCTCTCCTTACAACATGTCCAAAGTCTGTTAGACGAAGCCTCAGAATCCTTGCCTCCAAGGAGCTGCCTGGTTTAACCCTTTCCAGGATGAATCTGTTTGTTTTCCTAGCAGTCCATGGTACCCTCAACATTCTTCTCCAGCATTAGATATTATAATGCATTAGAAATTATAATGTCCAATACAGAGTTGTTGTTGTTGTTAAGTGCCATTGAGTCATAGATGACTCATAGTGACCCTATGAATGCAAGACCTGAACACTTGTATAACTTTCATTGTTTCTCTAAGTTCATAGTTTCCTTCCGAAGGCAAGTTATTTTGGAAGTGGATGTCAGTCCTGCTTCCAAGCCTGTTTTAATCTGGGAGCTCCACCAAACACTGTCCACTATGGATAACCTTTATCACGTTTGAGACATCAGTGTCACAGTGTTTAGCATCACAGCAACCACAAGTATGTAATTTAAGAAAAAAAAAATGTTGGAAGTCTGTTAATACAGAGGCAAATTTAGTTACTAAATGTGATAAAGTAGTTACCCTAAAATAGACATTAGTGAAATGTGTGAATAAAATCCCACTTGACAGCATATAGCAGCCATACATCAACTAAAGATAGAAGGCAGGATGTCTATCTCTGACCCTCCAGTGGCTTGATAGAGAAAGCACTAGAATATTCTAGGTATCCCAGCGAGAAAGATTTTTAAGGAAATAAATTGAGTAGAGCAAAAATTTTAGTGTCTCTGTTCTAACGAGATGTTTTCTCCAACAACTAATTGAAGTATACTAGAATTATAACGCATTTTTACATCTGTATACATTTTTGAAACTAAGTGATAATATCACACATTCAAAGTTTATTGTCAAGTAAAAGGACATTAATGTTTCAATGGTGGAGTTGTCAGCTTCTGTGCAGAAGAACTGGGTTTGATTTCTAGCCCGTGTATCTGAAGCATTGCCACTATTCAGGAGCAGTATATAGTTGCTCTGGTGCCGAATATGCCATGGACTGTCAAAAGAACAAACAAATATGTCTGTGAGAACGTGCAGCCAGGGTGCTCTTTAGAGGCAGAGGTGGGGAAAATTCATCTCACATACTTAGATCATTTTGATAGAAAGGGGCTAGTTATTAGAAGACGACATCATACTGGGAATGGTGGAGGTTTGAAAGAAAGGAAGACCCTTAACAAAATGGATTAACACAGTGATATGAACAATGGACTCAATGAAATTAGTGATAAGTATAGCACGAGATTGGATTGGTATGAAACTATTCAGTAACACCTAATGCCAGCAAAATGTGGGGCTGAGCAGGCTATTTCAGAAGAGCTTTCAGACTAAGAAAGACTAGGAAGAAAGGATTAATGTTGTTTCTGAAAATTGAGCCAACAAAAACCTCATGGATCACAACAGGTCATTCCTGTACATGAGGTCAAATGCGCCGGCAACAGCATGTGTAAATGCCGTAAAGAAGGCATCACATGGCATTGTTACTAAATCCTGCTTGTGTCTCCTAAGAAAAGTGAGCACTATTTCTCTTTTCAGAATGCATACTGTTAGATAAATAACTGTTGGTACATCTGAAGAATGTTCCCGCTCTGTTTTATATTTTCTCTTTTAACAACTTTTTTTTCCCCCTTAGAGTTATAGAAAATGGAGAAAAAAATCGAATGACCTATCAGAGTATAGCAATTGTTTTTGGTCCCACTCTGTTAAAGCCAGAGAAAGAGACTGGTAACATAGCAGTTCATACTGTGTACCAAAATCAGATTGTAGAATTAATTCTTCTGGAATTAAACTCCATCTTCGGACGCTGAGTCTTACTGAAACCTGTGGAACAGAAGAAGCTGGATTCCGTCAGATTTCAAATCTTCATAGATGATGTATTTTCATTTTGGACCAAGTAGTGACTCTGGTTTTGCACTTTTTTGAGGGATCAGAAGGGAGGGGTAGCCATCAAGATGTGTTAGGCCCTCATATTTGCTGCTTTGTTGCAAGTTGATAAAATTGTGTATAATTTGGGGTTACTTTTCTCCTGAATGTGTGCATTTCGTACTCTTGAATTTTAGTAAAAATCAAAACTTGCAATTCTAACCAGGCATATATACACTGGATAATTTGATGAAAAAAAAAACAGCTGGTTGGTTTTTTTTTCCTTTCCTAAAACTGGATAATATAAAATCTTTTTTTATGCCTTGTAGCTTCATTACATGTAGGCTCATCACCTGATATATAAATAGTATCAGTTATTTTGAAAATACTCGGGCATTTTAAACAAAATGAAGTATATCCGTTCTGAAACCTGTGTATTTCTTCTTCAGGGTTTTTGCATGCAGTGGCATTTGTAAATGCTAAAGTTCATCATAACCCAGATAGAATCCCTTGATGAAGGGACTTCACTGTGTTACACAGCCTCTTTTCTGGGTATCTTTGCTTGTATGGGCAGCACACTAATAAATACTACATTGAACACTGTGACATACTGGAAATTTTATTTAGCGTAAGTCATTTCAGGGTAATTTTAGGTTATATGTGCTACACTGAATTGTAGCTAACAATTCTCATTATATCTAGTGCCATACTGAGTTCTTGATATGACCCTGTGGAAATAGACATTATTTGTTGTAAATATATGCTAAAATTTTAATGCCCTGTAGCTTATGTATATTATGTTGTTGTATAGTCTGAGTACATTCTAACTCTACATTTCTAATCATGGTATCGGTATTGGTGTAGCTGATCTTTTCTGTGAATATTAGGTTTCCTCCAGTTTCCCATTATTTGGGAAAGGTAACTGAGTGCACTTTTAGGTTTAATTACATTTACAGGCAAATCACTGTAATGCAAATGGTACTGGAAAAATACTGAATAGACTTGCTAAATGGTAAATGCACTACAAGAGGAAACTTTTAGATTATTTAATATGTACAGAATACATTAGAAAAAAATAATTACAAAATCCTAACTCTGTAGTATGCATAGTTGAAAACCCATACATAAATTAGATGGCTGTTGGATGGAAAAGTGACATTGCTAAATTTGAGAATTTCTTTTTACATTACTAATGTAGATTGATTTGTATAATTAAAACAGGGTTTGGAAAGTTTTGTTACAGGGAGCATGGTTGGTTGCAGATTTTTTTAAATGTATTTTTCTAGATTAACTGCTGTATATGAAATGTCTAATCTGAATAAAGAAAACTATAAGAGGCTTAGAGATTTTTCCATTGGAAATGTGCATTTTTGTTTGTTTTTTAATCTACTGCATATTCTTATACCTCGTTTTAAAAAAGTTGAACCCAATATTTCCTGTGGTAAATATAATATTTTCCTTCACACCTTTCTTATGCCTGCTGTGTCATCATCCTCTTCCACCCTCACTCATTTTAATTTCTTCATCAATATTTGGGAGTGATTGGTTTGTGGCCCAAACTCTTCTTATTAGGATTGTATTTATAATATTAAGATTGCCTTCCTTGAAAAAAAAAAATTTTTTGTGTGATCTGTTTAAAAATCTCTTATCTAAATTTTGTGGTAAAATAATTGTGTTTACTATTGTGATCTTGTTAAAATTGGTAAACAAATGAAGTCTGTGTAGTTGTAGGAAAGCACTTTGTGTGGGATGGAGAAGACTGCTCAAGACAAAATGTTTATTTTTGCCTCTAAAGGTGTCCTTAATAATACAAAATGCATTAGAACTGGAGTATATAGTGGTTGCATACCAGGAAAACAATTAGACTCAATCAGTGATGTTCTTTCTCTTGGCAATCATGAAAATATCAAAGATTAAAAGTGTCCTGTGTTTCTTGTTTCAGAGTATATACATATGTGTGTATGTGAAGTCTTAAATGTTTTGTTAGTCTCCAGCTAATCAGTTTATTGTAATACTGTACGTACAACGTGATCAATGTCTTGTGTTTTCATTATTTGTGAATTAAAATTGCCACTTGTTTTTATAATAACAAAACTAGTAATATTTTCTGTCTCAAGAGCTTGATTTTTAGTAGAAAATATATTAAAGTCTAAACAAAACTGTCAGTGTAATTTCATTTACCTAGTAGGCCTTGCTACAAAATATAAAGAAAAAAGGTAGGGAAAAAATGAGAAAGGGGTGGGGGAAAGCTATATTTAAATACATTATCACGTTCCAATTAGAAAAGAAAAAAACTCATTTAAATTTTAAAACAGGAAGACATTTTATTTTTTAAAATCATATAGAAAATGAAATATGGAATAGGTTTGAAAAAGTTTATCTTATAGATAAATCTAAAATTGTTTTTTGTTTTGTGAAGAGCATAAATAGAATAACTGAGGCAAGCTATGGGCTTGGGCACATTGTGTTGGTGTGCATGTATTTGTGTACACACACACACACACACACACAAATAGATGTCTGTAGGTGCATATGCCGTTGCTTATATGCTAGTGAAAACTTATCAGTGATAGCAATGACAAATACTTGGAGACCTTGGTACTATTTCTATATCATCCATGATTTTTTGCAAGCCTATAATATTATAGGTATAATAATAGCAAAAGGAAAAAAATTCTTTAATAATTGTGTCAAGAGTATTTTTTCCAGCTTGTGGGCTTCTAATTAGAGATTTAAAGTAAACATATGGTTTCACATGACACTAATTTGTCAAGCATCTTTGACATATTTATAATTTTTTTTTAAAAAAAATTCACAGCTAAGTCAACAGCATGCCATTTTATCAAAGGGAGAGAATAAAAGGGTCAAATAGAGTGTTATGCTCTCAGTGTTCAAGTACAAGTCAAATGTTCTAATATTGCATCTACAAAGAGAATTGGAAAAGGGTAGAAAATAAGATTTTATAGAGTTTGCTGTTTTTAAATTCTAGCAATCAACACTAGTGATTGTATTTTATAGAAAGCACTTTTCTAGCACAAAAACAGAAAAGGGGTTTAATACAGACTTCAGTCTCTGTCACAAACTTGGAGGTAGGGGATCGGTTTTTGTTTTTGCTTTTTTAGAAATAGGATTCTAATATCAATAATACAGTTCTATTAAATGCTGTGCTAGAGACCAGAAGAAAAGGGACAAAACCAAACCAGCAGTCTCACAGTAACCGTGTATTAGAATCTGTTGGAAATGCACGAGCTGTAAACACAGGCCAAGCAGTCAGACTTGGTATTCTAGAGAAGGGGAAGGTATGGAATGCCTAATGAGACACTCCGTAACTTCTAAAGACAAGTGAGTTCTCCTGAGGAATCTCAATTAGTCTTCTCAACTGAAGTTTTGTGGCCCAGCAGTGGCTATAAGTGTATTCAGATGGATTGAGCGTTTACAAATTAGCCTTATGTGAATATGGCACTTAAATGAACTCTTTCATTTCCTGCATTGCTTCCCTTCTCCCACAGAGGTGAAATAAAAAAAAAAAAATCCAACACCACCACAAACCTTCCAAAAACTAAATTTCTTGGTGCTCTTGTAAACAGAGTACGTGTGGAACCGGAGAACTGTACAACAAACCACAACAGTATGAATTTAACAAAGTTGGTTTTGTTTAAAAAAATTTTTTAATTGATAACTACCTCCCACTATTTTACTTCCTTGCAGATTTTTGTAAAGACTGTAATTACTGCTTGTGATTAATCTTTCGGGTAGTTCTGAAACTCACTTCATGTAACACTGAAATTTGGAATCCATAATTACATTTGTACCTTGGAATCTGTAATGCCAGCAGAATGACAAATGATGCTTTTGAGGCTAATAAGACCTTTGCAGAGGTGTAAATAAAAACCACTGTAAGGTCATATTGGAATGACTGATGAAAATTCAGTAGAGGATTCAAGGCCTCCTTTCACTTCTGGGTATCCTAGAGGTTATTTGAGCAATCTTATGTGCACAGATAAAAACAAGACTCAGAGATCAGTAAAGATAGAAAAGGACCTGTAGGAACCATTACCTTTAGTCTTGGTATTTTGTGAATGAGGTAACAGGCCCAGTATGATTGAATGCCAGAAGTTTTAGTGATATTTAATGATGCAGCAAAACAAGCCAAGGACAGAAGATAAGAACTATCACTGATCATTTTAAATGATCATAGGATCAATTTAAGTAAAGCATATTCTGGCATGTTCAGTACTATACGAAGAATAAATACTGTGATCATCTTTTCAGACTGCAAATGTTCTTGTGACCTGACCCAGCGAAACAATCCAGCCATTTTCTGTATGTAACTCCTGACACTGGGTGGTGGAACCTTTCTCTCTCTCCTTTTCTGAGTTGACCTCTCCATTAACAAATTCACTGCCCTCCTGTTTTTCCTCCCTAATCTTTAATTGTTGATGTCACAGTGATTATATAACTGCGTAAGGTAGGTTTTTTTTAACTATGGATGAACTGGTTTTAAGGCTTCTGGATTGATTTTTTTAAAAATTTTTTTTTACAATACAAGGAGCTTTTTTTATTCAAAGGTGTAACTGGATACGTAGATTTGTTTACAACCATTCTTGTGAAATACTTTTTTAAAAAATACAACCAACTTCTTTGCAAATAGCAGACACATACTTCAACTATGATTACCTAATTTTTGGTGGGTAATGGACATGATTAGACAGAAATAGGCAAGCTCACATTGGTAGGTTAATTATCAACTGCTCAGTCAAAACTCCATTTGTGGCCCCCATTTCTTTCTATTTCCACTTCATATTCTTCTGTCTTGTCAACTTCCTGACCAGCTTCCCTGCCGACTCTGTCTACCTGACCTGATTTTTAAAAACTTTTAAAGATTATGTCTGGGCAATAGATGATAGGTCTTGATCTAGTCTCCTTAATGTCAAGAGTTCAGAGGCCCTTTAGTATTGAAATTTTGCATTCTCAACTAGAATCTCTCCCCCCAAACCTCCCAAAAATAGTTGATCAAAATACTCAGTAATGGTAGCCGGGCACCATCCAGTTCTTTGGCCGAGCAAAGGAGGCAGTTTATGAAGGCAGTTGCTAAATGTACCATACCCTGGGCACACAGATACTAATTGCTGTGCCTTGGATGGCCACTTGCAATCAAGCTAATATTTGAAGAACACTTAACAGATTGGGCCTATTTTTCTCATGTGTATTGGAATGTCCCAGAGAGTACAGACAGGTGCCAAGCAGTAGCTCCTGCTTTCGGCTGGTCTCTACAAGTTCATATATTTTAGGTTATAAGCAAGCATTTGAGCGCTCTACCAGCAAAGAATCAGAATACAGGGATTCTAATTTTACCGTGGTGTCATAGACCTTTTGTGTACATTAGAATGGCTATCTATTTTCATTTATGTTCTAGAATTAAAGATGTAAACTAGAGTAACCAATAGCCACAAGTAGCAGTTTAAATAAAGGGGGGGGTTAGTTACACTAGCCACATTCCTAATGTTTAATAGTGACATGGATTTAATGCACACCATACTGAGCAGCAAGTCAGATGATTTCTAACTTCTCAGAAAAGTCTACAGGACAGTACATTCTAGAAGGTTCGTTGTGAGGAATAATTTTGCAAATGCAAATAAACTAATAAAATGCAAAATTATCTTAAAAATGCAGAATTAAAATATTACAGGTCATACTTCTGGTACTTCATAACTCTTGTCTCTCAAATCTTTGGTATTCAAAGAACTTGAATTATAGATGCCCAAATATTGGGACCTGGAGAGTGATGCATCAAAGTCATCGATTTGTTGTAAACCAGCTTAAACTGTGGCTTAACAGGCACCTCCACGGTAGCAGTGCTCTCTTGGAAGAAGTGTGTGGTGTGTCAGCCTGCTCGCTGGAAGGTCAGTGGTTGGAATCCTCAGCAGCTCCATGGTAGAAATGTGGGCAGTCTCCTGGAAAGATTTACCGTCAGAATTGACAGGTGTTTGGCTTGGTTTTTATGACATAATATTTCATAAATTTGTGTCACGGTATTCTTACATTTTAGGAATTTTCACAAAGTTAAAAAGGACTTTGGGAAATTTTCTTATCTAAAATCTTACTGAAAGAAATGTTCTAACTAGAGCTCTCCCTGGGAATGCTAGCTGCTTCACCCGGTATTATACTTTTTATTGGCATTGTGGAGGAAGCAGTGAAGATGTGAAAACACTTACATACCAGATTCTTAAAATAGCGATTCAGGGAAAAGGACAAAGCAAGTCACCACGTTTGCACATTCTTTTGGTGAAGAAGATGATTTAGTGCATAGATGCTGTAGAGTAAAGGCTAAAGGAGTTCCCCCCATCAAAATGATTTTTAA